TAAAGAAGTACGCCAGGGAATTATATAGTCCGATCGCAGATCACCCTGGCAGATTATTCTTCTTTGACTCAAGTTTACTTTATTAATTCATATTCTTCGCCCGGTATTTATCTCCTGGTTAGCTCAGTTGGTTTATTGCCCTTCTGCTAAGCGGAAGCCTTGCACCGGTTTGAACCGGCCAGAACGCCAACTAAGGCCTTTAATTGATAATTTATCTCCATTTTTAATATATGGGAAACGTAATTGAACCCACGTCAGAGTTGTTCAAAAAGAGCGGGGAAATGAGACCTCGTTGGGGTCGTCTTACTCAATTTTCGATTGGGTTTTAGTGATAAAAAAGCTGGTGTCCGTCCCAAGCAGTGAGTATTGCTGAAAGATGTTGATGTCTGGCCAAGATGATAAAGTCAAATCCGAATGAGGCTGAGTGCCCCTTAAATGTTTACGTTCAAAGTCTATGAAACAATATCCATCACCGAGAATATGTTTAAGCTATACAGGCGGTAAACGGACATCCCTGGGATTTATTTTAGGCACCATCTCTTTCTTAGCCTGCGTAGAAGGTGGATGAATGAAAACGGTATTTATTGTTAACCACGCAGGAAATGCACTTAATTCACAATAATGAATGACTCACGCTATAAACGCTGAGGTTAGAAGTAACACCCTTAGGTTTGTCTTTCTAAGTTAAGTATATCCATATAAAAAAGCCTCAAATTTATGTATTAATAAAGATGTTATATAGTTATACAGTCACAAACTCCAGAGAGAGACGTCTGAAAGTACCGGGCGTTCCGTACTGTTCAGTGACGTCACTATCCGAAAACCGGGTAGTGATTTTGATTGGATGATTGTCGAAACATTCGTATAATTATACATTTAAGTTGTTAAGAGAAATTTTAGCAGGACTGTCATTTGATATTCATCGGATCGCATGCTTGCGTCGAGTCAGTGTGAATTTCAAATTTTTGTCGATCTTATCGCAAACAGCAAAATGAACTTCTCCGGTTCTTGTCGTCTCTCGAAAATATGACTTGTTAATAAAACTGAATTACGAATCAAGGAACAATTCGGAAAGTCTACTAGAACCGCTTTGTTGTTTCGCATTTTGGGATCGATTGTTGTAAGATTTTTTGATAATAAGCTTATGTTCGTTTTTATTTTATGTTTATACAGTCAAACAATGGAATTGTATTCCCATTTGGAACAATTCTGTTATACTGTATAACCCTGAAATAAAACGTTCAATTCCATTTTGATATGACTTCTTTCCTTCTTCAGGCGAAAAAACAAAACAAAACAAAACAAAACAAAAACAGAAGAAATTGACCGATGATAAAAGATATTTTGAAGAGGAAAATTTTCTACAGATATATTTGACGATATATAAGTCGGTCTTCAGGATTTTACACTTCTAGATGAAAGAACAGAGTGAAAACGTTTTGGCCTGTTCAGTTAACTTCTATTTTCAGTAACATTTACATCATCGAATGAAGTGCACATCATTCCTTTTTAATAGCCGCGACATAGAATAAATTCTCTTGTCTCAAAAAGTGCTATGCCGCTAACAAACGTTGAAAGTGCTATGAAAATGTGAAGTAAGGTCTTCTCTTTTAAGAAGGGGATCGAAAGAACCGTTTGAGCGAATGCAAGGAAGTTGTAAAAGCACGATAAAGCATCACTAAAGGGTAATTGTATATTGTTATACCAGGTACTAACAATCGTTCGATGGTATATAAAAAGAATATCTGTTTAATTTAAGACTTCACTGAACTCACCTTTGGACATCTTTTTAATGCAGTGATATGACCTCATGTTAGGGAAAAATACACATAAACTTGTGAAAAAATACAGTGACGGTCTTTAACCGTGACCTCACAACCTGCAACTCCCATTCGAGTCGCGACTTCGCTTACTTAACAACTCAAACCTAACTACTACAATGCTAATTCACTGGTGAGCCGTGACTTGCCTTACATAAAAGTAGGCAGAAAATACTGACTACAGTACACACTGTTTTGCCTTACGAAGTCATCTCGCAATTTCAACCACCCACTTTAACACAAAACCCACTGGCGACTTTAAAGACCTAAATATTACAAAGGCTCGAGTCCATGCAATTCATCCTCTAGCATATCCCCAACTCGCTAGTTTGGGTATTAACCATTTCTTGGGGAAAGGAGAAGAGTGAATAAAAAAAGGTACTTTAACTGTTGGCAGTAACAGGAACTTTTTTTTCACATACGCAGTGGTGTCCATATGGCCGTTCATGATCAAAGTAAAATAATCAAAAGACGAAATACTGTAACTAATAAAACGTCTCTATCTGTAATACTTGGTAGAATGTTTTATACTTTACGTACCTCAGTTTTCAGCTCTTTTGATCTGATGTATTTACCAACTTTTGGTGAATAAGTTGTTTTAGTTATGACGAGTCGTTTATCAATGAGGATGTTTTATACTTGAACGATGTTGTTCAACGACTCAAATACGTGGCAATTTTAACTCAAAGGTAATGTTCGACTTGTAGGATATGTTTAAATGTATTTAAATTCAAGAGCAAAAAGAGAACTGTTTGTCAGAACGGTGGCGCCAGTTTATCGCTTAATGATAAAAATGTTTGACCAACTGAAAAACAGCTGGCATGATCTTCTTATTGCTGACTGGATGGCTGGCTATTTTAAAAGCCGTCATCAGGTATATGTTTTTTCTAGTCTTGTCCTTATGGGTATAAATTTGGCAAAGAGACAAACTCCTTTTTTAACCCTCGGACGTACAAGAGGTGGGGGTGGGGGGAATTGCCAAACCCTCTAAGATTTTTCTGAGTTTTTCCCTAATTACGATAAAAGATCAGCAGCTGACGCTTTCAGTAGCTGTTTGTTTATTCCTCGCATGCATTTTGAGACAAGTTTAGTTAGATCAATTACTATGGTTACGAGCTATAACGTCATAGGTGGCAGGTGGTAAAGCCTTTTTTGAGTGAAAATGCAATGGAAGTAAAAATTGTGAATATAATGATGCAAAGTGCTTATCTATGTGTTATTTTGTATTTCAAGCACAAAAAAAAAATTTCCTGCGGTTTTTACTCGACCGTTGTCGGTGACGTCACAGGCATCCAGTAGTACCACCACTTATAAAATATACCTCATCTTGTTGAGAAGATCAAAGGCTTTCCATTCAAGGCAAAATCCTTTTGAAATACTGCAACATATAAAAAAAACTCTACTAAGGGGTTCAATCAACCTCCCCCCTCTCCCTTGTACCACGGGGGTTGAATTTGCGCGTGCGCCCGGGGGTTAAGAAATATAGGTTATTAACCCGATGATTGACGTGTCTGGGTTATTTAAACGGCGACCCGATACAGAAATAAATTTACAGTACTTTACTACAGTCTATACGAGATGGCTAATACTGGTCTATTTAAATCCTTCAGACTCAAATCGAAATAGGGCAAATAGAAATCTAGAAATGAATTCCAGCTCTAACAAAAACAGCAACAAAGTCATGAAATCATTTACCTAATTGACCTCACATTGCAAGTTGAGGGCACCAACTTAATGAATTATTGCAGCAAAGTTGACTGATAATAATTATTAAAAACTAACGCTTGCATTTTCTTTAGCCAGTTAGCCGGCTAATAGTCGAGCAACAAAGATGAGGATCCTCGCTTTCCGAATAAGGCAAGCTGTATGATATACCCGTTTCACCAAAACATTTTACTGAGGCCACATTTCCCCAACTATTGTATTACTTTTTGTGCCATTAAAATTAAAGAGTTGCGTAATGCTATCTTGTGGTTCTCTACTTATGTCCATGATTTAACACTGTCGCGAAAATTTGCTAGCAAATTGTTTTCGCAATTTTGGCAAAAAAAAATATGAAAGGAAACTGCGGTTAGAAATGTACAGAAAAAAAAGCAAATAAAGCAAGAATAACAAATTCAACAAGGATTGAAGGCTGCAGCAAAATTTTGCTTTTGTCGCAATTTTAGCAAAAACATGTTATTTATAAATTGCTTGCAGAAATCTGAAGAAGTCTGCAAAAATCACAAAAGTAACAAGAAATTTCATTGCAACAATAAAAACACCCTTACAAATTTCGCAAGAATAACAAAGTAAGCAAAAGTTTCGACTTATAACGGACAAGGTAAAGAAGGCCCTAAAAAGGAAGTCGGCAAATTTCGCAAAAATCGAAAAACTAACAATAATTTTTATTGCAATAACAACAAAACAAACACTAACAAATATCGTAAGAATAAAAAGAATAACAAATTTAGCAATAATTTAGACTTATAGAAAAGAAAGGTAAAGAGCTCGAGAGGTCATCTGGAAGCCTTCAAATTTCGCAAAACTCGCAAAAGTAACACAAGAACTTTCATTCAGCAGCAACAGCAACAACAAAAAACGCAAATGTCACAAGAATAACAGGAACAAATTAAGCAAAAGCTCAGACTTGTACTGAAGGCGAAAATGGCAAAGAAGACCCCCTAAGAGTCTGCACATTTCTCAAAAATCGCAAAAGTAACAGGAATTTTACTTGCAGAAAGAAAAACAGTTTAACAAATATCGAATCAATACCAAGGATAACAAATTTAGGAAAATTTCATACTTATTAAGAACAGAGGTAAAGAAGGCCATCCAGAAGTCCTCAAATTTCAAAAAAGTTCGCGAACACAAACTTTACATTGCTAAGAAAGAAATAAACACGCTAAAACATATAACAAGAATATCAAGAAAACAAATATAGCAAAAACGCAAATTTGGCAGATGCATGCAAACAACAGCTACAAAACTTTTCAAATTAGCAAAAGGTCAGATTTGTAAAGAAGAAAGTTAAAGAAGCCCATGGATAACTGGTCACAAATTGTGCAAAAGTTACAAGAATAGCCAAGAATTGTTCATTAATAAGAAGGGAAAAGAACACCGGCGTGAATGAAATTCGGTGTTTTTTTCCCCTATAGATATCTCAACTGGGATAAGTTCTTGTCCAGTAATTTTGTAGCCGGCTTTCCATGTACAGTCTATAATTAACAACAGCAATTGCCAAAATTGTTCATATGTAACTACCTTTATAATGACGCAAAATTTGGAAAATTTATTCAGTAATCTGACTCCGTGAAGTTTCAAACCGGTGTCAAATCAAATAAGAAATTTTCAAGTTGTGTGAAATGCAGTCAAATATTGCGTAGCCGTAGTACAATCACCTTTGCAGAATTTAATTTGTCGTCCTTGTATAATTTGATTGATCAGGTTTTCTAATAGATCCTACGTTCTGCGGCATATTCGTTCGCGGTGCTTTTGTAGTTCATGTCTTCTTAATATATAGAGGACCATACAACCGATAAGTAATAGGCTTTATTTAGAGAGGGTAAAACACTTAACAGTAGTCCTAAGACACTGATGACTCTGTGGCCCTCAAAACAAATTACAAGATAGATTCTACAACTAAAAACTATAAAATATACTATTTTCAAAGATAATTTAGGATAAAATATATCGCTAATTTCTAAAAAGACATTATGACTAACATAGATAAAAACAACATAAAACGTATATACAATTACAGTCTAAGGAGCATCGCAGCCTTTTCTTCAGCTAGAAAGGATTTAAAAACGTTATGCTTAAAACTTGCTAGCGAGCCATTATTTCTTATATTGGCATTCATGCAATTCCTGTCCTTTATAGTCCTAATAGTGAAAGTAAGACGTCCTTCTGTTTTTCGTTTATACTTGGGGCACAACAAATTTATGTTTGAATGTCTAGTGGCTCGATTATGAATTTCTGAATTTCTGACCAATAGACTATTTAAATAAATAGGCGTAATTATGATTGATAGATCGCGATTGTCAGATCAACCTCCTCACCAGAGATGCCAACCTCTGGAGATCTAAAATCTAGAGACTCTCTCTTTTGCACCACCCCCCTGAATGTCAACAGACCCCCATTCGCCCCCCCCCCCCCCCCCACCCCCACATAAATCGACCTAGCCCCCAAATTTTGAGATGGGAATGGCTTAGGACACATATGAAGTCTTACATGAGGTACATACCATCGAAACTCGTTTTCATAATTGTGATGATGAAACCTTAAGATTGAGGTTTTTCCTCATTTCTCCACTTATGTCCAGGATCGATCTTCTTAGCAAAAATTTGCTAGCAAATTGTTTTCGCAATTTTAGGATAAAAGATTTAAAGAAAACTGCTATCAGAAAAGTATAGAAGAAAAAGCAAATGTCGCAAAAATCGCAAAAGTAAGAAGAATGTTTCTTGCTATGTGAAAAGATTGAGTAACAAATTTGGCAAAAATAGCAGGAATAACAAATTTTTCAAAATTCTACTTTTACAAAGAGAAAAGGCCAAGAAGGGCTTCGTGAAGTCCGCAAATTTAGCAAAAGTGGCCGCAAAAGTAACGGGAATTTTCCTTGCTAAGTGAAAAGATTGAGTAACAAATGAAGCAAAAATAGCAAGAATAACAAATTTAGCAAAATACTACACTTAGAAAGAGAAAAGGACAAGAAGGGCTTCGAGAAGTCCGCAAATTTTGCAAAAATTGCAAAAGTAACAAGAATTTTTCTTCAGTATGTGAAAAGATTGAGCAACAAATATCGCAAAAATAGCAAGAACAACAAATTTCACAAAATTCTACACTTAGAAAGAGAAAAGGTCAAGAAGGGCTTCGAGATGCCCGCAAATTTGGCAAAAATCGCAAAAGTAACAAGAATTTTTCTTGCTATGTGAAAAGATTAAGCAACAAATATGGCAAAAATAGCAATAACAAATTTCACAAAATTCTACACTTAGAAAGAGAAAAGGTCAAGAAGGGATTCGAGATGTCCGCAAAGTTCGCAAAAATAGCAAAAGTAACAAGAATTTTTCTTCCTATGTGAAAAGATTGAACAACAAATATGGCAAAAATAGCAAGAACAACAAATTTCACAAAATTCTATATTACTTGGAAAGAGGAAAGGACAAGAAGGGCTTCAGTAAGTCCGCAAATTTGGCAAAAATCGCAAAAGTAACAAGAATTTTTCATGCTATGTGATATAAGTAATAACAGAATTCTACACTTAGATAGGGAAAAGGGCAAGGAGAGCCTCGAAATATGGCAAAATGCCACAAACTGGCTGGAGTAACAAGAATAGGCAAGAATTGTTGAAGGGCAAGAAAAAAGGGGCCAAGAACACCCGCGCATCACTGTTTTTCCCTAATACTAATGGTTATCTCAACTGGAATACGTTCTTGTCCAGTAATTTTGTAATGCGTTCCATTTTCGCGAAAATGAAATCATCAGTTACAAACGTGACACTATTTATAATTACTGACAGTAGCGAAATACTGTAATATCAATCTGTGTATGCTTCGTTCTTCTATCAACATACAGCTACAATGCATAGAAAGGAGTGTCGCTCACAGAGGGGGGCACATTTTAAGCAATAAAAGGGGGTGGTAGCAGAACTTTTCATGGCCAAGAACCCACCATAACAATCATTCCAAAATATCAAGAA